CTTCACCGATTACTAAAATCTTAATCTCTTTCAGTCTAAGCTTAATTGCTATTTCCTGTATATCCTCTTAAAATGCAATTCCTAACCGCCTCCTGTTACGTGCAACAGCTTCAACAAGTGACTTTCTATCCCGACTGAATCACGATCGTTCTACTGAGTGGTGGACAATTAGTAGCACACATGTTGGTATCAGAGTAGATTTGAAATATTTCTGTCAATAACACATGGTCCCTTTTTTTATTTGTTATAGATAGTAATCTGACAAAATGGCATTTGGCATGAAATTCCATACGAAGTAGAAGTATGTCACTGAATTACTCGATTCGGAAAAGAATTCCTCGACCATTGCTGACCGTTTACGGAGACAAAACAGAAAATGCGAGCATGTTTCGCCAGCATATAATGCGTTACAACAGTAGCAACAAGCTACGTTCCGGGCAGAAATATCAACCCATGGATGAAGTGAACCTCGAAAATGTACAATAAAATATTAAACAGACAGACCGTGTTGTTTCTTTTATTCAGACCTGTTTAAAAGGATACTTGCTGCCTAAATATATATTATTCTTATATATATATATATATGTGTGTGTCGGTGTGTGTGTGTGTGTGTGTGTGTGTGTGTGTGTGTGTGTGTGTGTGTAAAAATTACTCAGAATTGACCTGTAGAAAAAGACAATATGGATAGAGGAAAAAGACAATAGGAATACTGTAGTAATAGCCGACGCGTTTCGTCCAATGTGGATTTTTTCAAAGCAGAAACGAAATGAATTTATTGAAACAAAGAATCTATAAGCAAAATGTCGTTTGCAACTAGAAGCGTTTTGTAAGTTCTTCCAGATGCTAACGACATTTTGTTTGCTGTTTATTGATACTTTGTTTCAATAAATTCATTTCGTTTCTGCTTTGAAAAAGTCCACATTGGCCAAAAGACGTCGGCTAATACTAGTCTTCGTATTGTCTTTTTACTTCTTTTATATATATATATATATATATATATATATATATATATATATTGATTTAAAAATGACGCAGTGGATTTTTAAAAGGAACATTTATCGTCCAACATTTCTGCAGAAAAATTGGATGGAACAAAAAAATATAATCATAAACGCCAAAACTGAAAAAGTGCATGGGTGCAAATGAGAAATCAAGACTCAAAATAATTTATGACTAAAACAACAATTTGATGTAAATAAGTTCCTAGTGAGTATAAAACAGAAAAAAAAATGCTTAATGTTCTTATTAAGCTTCATCGGCCAACTTTGTGCAGGCAGAAAGAGAACTTTCTTCTAAAAAAAAAGTAAATGTTCATCCGAATGTGGTATATGCTGTACACTAAACGTTTCATAAGAATATTTCTAAGCGCAACCCGGGTTATTCACCAAATGTAGTCTAATCGTTGAGTCACAAACCAAATGATTCAAGCGAATGCTGTCATTGACTCCACCTTTTCTTATATGAGCAAGTACGTTCTGTCCAATTCAGGTCTCTAAGTGCAGTATATATATATATATATATATATATATATATATATATATATATAAAGTATATAATATACTGGTATAATTGGTATACACGGAATGAATTCCAATAACCAACAATTACTATTCTTAAAAGAGTGCTCAATACAAAGTAGAGCAGATATAATTATTTTTATAAAAAAAATTATAACATAAGTATGTTATAAAATCACTACAAAAATAGCCATTTTGTTTCAACACACTCTGTGTCTTATCAAGTGATGATGTTAAAAGAAAATAAATGGTTTTAAAAGTTTCAGATTAATTAACGATCCTACACTAGGGGGAAAATAAGAATGAAGAAAGAAGAAGAAGGAAAAGAAGAAGTTTGAAGAGACCAAGGGAAAAGAAGAAAGCAAGCGTGTCATAAATGTATAAAGAAAAGAAGTAGAAAAGAAAAGCAAGTGTAACTTAAATCTAAGGAAGGGTGTCGTGTAAATATAAGGAAGGATGTGTGGGGAAGCAAACGTATTGTAAAAATAACAGTGGGTTTAAAAAAAAATTATCCGGCCTCATATTCTCTTAATAAAATTTTTTTGATAAGAAGGCAAGGACATAAGGTTTCAGAGCTCTGGTTAAAAAAGGTTTTTTGGATCTGAAATGTCATAATCGCTAATTTCTCATGTTGACAAAGGTAGAGAATGCGGGTATGATTGCTGTATAATTTTACATTTTGTTTTAATTTTCCAACTTACGAACAGGACCCTGTTGTTTATTGATTTTAGATTCCACATATGGCTAGCAATTTTTGTGAAGTATCTAAGATTTGCTAAGTTAAAAGTTCTATGGTTATATCATCTACGCTTATAAGAACCTTCTGTACAACCTATATATTTTATTTTGGCCATTAATATCAGTTACATCCTCTTTATAAATTATGACTTCTGTTTTTAAAGCTCCACTTAATGGGCATCTAAATTTATTTATGCAACTGCAAAAATAACTAGTGTTATTTTACTACATGTTAGTTTTGAGATTTCTGGTATTTTGTCTATTTGTTATGATATCTAAATTACTAGTGCAACTGTAGCTTAATTTAACTGTATTTTTATTTAATATCTTATGTATAATATTTTGGGAAGTGTTTATTAAGCAAATTTTACATGTAAGTTAAAGTGGGGGTTAAACCAAAAATTATTTTTTCTTTTCCTCGAATTGTTCTTTGTATGGTATTTAATTTGTTGAGGTTTAATTTTTAGTGTGGTTTTTTGACCCTTTACCTTTAAATTCTTCTCATATTCTTTATTTTTTTCATCAAAAATCGTTCTACAAGAAGTGTTTCAGGATAACCTAGACGCTATTCCTTTGGGGATATCTTTAATTATATCCAGAGGTTGGTTGGATCTAATATTTACATATTTTAACTTTGTTTTAGGTTTCATGTACGGTGTGACTCTGCCAGTATGAAGGTTCAATTCTACATTCAGATAACGATTTTTTTTTATTTATATCGACTTCCATTTCAAAGCCGAGGCTTTTCAAGAGCTTGAAAAACGCTTTTCTAATGGTGTCATTAATTCTCCTATTATTTGGTGCTATCAGGCCGTCATCCTTATATAGACCGTTGTTATCCATATGAACGATCTTATTAATTTCAGGTAAAATATGTAGGCTTATTAATTCAGAAATCTCAGCAGCATCAAAGGAGCCTTGTGGTACATCAAACCTGTCTTTTTTTATTTTTTAACCCAGGTTGCTCGATTATGGAATAAAATAGATTTGAAACCTTGGTAAGGTGTTATGTTTACAAAGCCTTTGGCGAAATGTAAAGCCTCCGGAAGGCCTTTTTTCTGATATTGATTGGTAAAAGTTCTTTATGTCATATTTTATAAATACATATTTGTTTTTATTTTTGATCATGTGGAACCAAGAAATGCACTCACTTGCGTCCTTCAGTTCATTGGCATGTGTGGCAATTCTTAGTGAATCGCATTTTTTTTTTCAAATTTCTTGGCTTATCTAAAATAAGCCAAGAAATTTTGAAATAAATTTTGAACAATGTGTTTCACGCTTTTGCAATCATCAGACAAAATGATGATCGTAAAAGCGTGAAAACCAGGGTTCGAAACTCATATCCATACAATCGAATATATATATATATATATATATATATATATATATATATATATATATATATATATATATATAGATTATAAAGATTAAGGAAGCGTCCACACAGGAATCTGTTCCACAAATTAGCAGTTCTTCAGAAAAAGCTTTCTGAATGGAACTTCCTCCTTACAATTGGAATAGTAAGGAAATGATGATGATTTGTCTCTGTGGTTATAGTCTGGCAATTGTTAGCTGTAAATGTCTGAATTGTCTTTTTAATTCCTATTGTAACCTATACCACAAAAATGTCTTGTTCAAGAACTTACATTAACTCTTTGTATTTATCTTTAAATGAACTTATAATTTTACTGTCTCCATCCCACTGCCCTTTTCTAAGTAGTATGGATCAATTTATGGTTTTTTTCAATGAAGGATGCTCAATTTACACATTTCAGTTTTTCATGTCTACTTAAATGTGGTAGTTTTGTTGATTTCATGTTTTAGCCAATATTTTTTAATATTTTGCATTTGTTCTCACTTTTTACATTCTCTACACCAGCTTCTACAAATATAATTTCCATAGTGTTTGAAATATTTTCAAATGTTTTAATTTATTTGTTACTTTAAATATTTTAATCGACTTGTGATTTCTGTTCAACTTTTACAATTTCCAATTTTGTTCTACATCACTTCTAATATTTTCTTTATCTTTTGAGGTTATATAACGTAAGGCTGTCGTTTTAGATTTGATATTAAAAAATATGAATAAATGTGTAGCAAAAAGGTACAGCTTTTTGGAGTACCAATTGTACCACAATATTATGTATTGTGCGGGTGCATGGATATATAAAATATCATATTTAAACCAATATTAGTAAAGCGTCGACTCGGTGTAGTGTAATATTTTTGTTGACCATTAACTACTGAATAGTGAGCTCTGTTCTCACTATGTGCACCATACTTCTAGCCTTGTGCCAAAACTAATCAAAGCTTTGAAAATAAAAACACTCGTTAGTAGATTATTGCTTACCATAACGTCTTTTTCTTAGTTAGGCCTAGGCTACCCGGCCCCTCTTCAAACGATTGCCACCTCGGGGTTTGGGGCTTTTATGACTAACGTTAAACGTTAATCTTCCATTGAGTCGTTGTTTGTTCGCGATGCGACACAATGGAAAAGATTTCCGCCGTACCAACTTCCGCGCACATTCGCTGTTTTTCCCGCCGTTCCATTATGCACTGTAACCGTAAAGCCCGCCACTGAGTGACGCCATTTTCATTTTCATTATTATTTTCATTATTGTATTTGTTGTTGTTGAACTGCAATTTCCACTCCCGTCGAACGGTACGATAATGAGCACTTCATTATGTAGACATTAGCAGGTCGTATCGCAAAGAGAATAGTGGGCACGCACTATTGCGTCTTCGTTACAAGCGAGAGAAAGAGATAAAGGGAGAAACAAGGAAGGAAACGCACGGGTGAGAAAGAAAACCGAACGGAAAAGGAAAAGAAACAAAGGAGACGAAAAAAGACAAAGAAAAACCTAACGTGGATACGAAAGACATTAAAGGAACAGAGAAAGTGTTACAGAAATGATTAGCTAAAAACAAAGAAGTGAAAATGAGAAGAAATAGTAAAAAAAAAAAAAGAAAAAAAAAGGTGTATGTTCATGAAAGAGACTAAAGAAGGAAAATGTGATGGGATGAAACAATCAACAGGAGAAAGAAAGAAAGAAAGAAAGAAAGAAAGAAAGAAAGAAAGAAAGAAAGAATGAGAGAAAGAGGAAAAAAGAAAGAAAGAATGGAAAAAAGAAAGAAAGAGGAAAACGAAAGGAAAGAGAGAATGAAAGAAAGAAAGAATAGAAAATAAAAGAAAGAGGAAAAAAGAAAGAAAGAATGGAAAATGAAAGAAAGAAAGAAAAACCAAGAATGAAAAAAGAAAGAAAAAAGAAAAAGAAAGAATAGAAAAAGAAAGAGAAAGAAAGAATGAGAGAAAGAGGAAAAAAGAAAGAAAGAATGGAAAAAAGAAAGAAAGAGGAAAAAGAAAGGAAAGAGAGAATGAAAGAAAGAAAGAATAGAAAAGGAAAGAAAGAGGGAAAAAAAAGAAAGAATGGAAAATGAAAGAAAGAAAGAAAAAACAAAGAATGAAAAAAGAAAGAAAAAAGAAAAAGAAAGAATAGAAAAAGAAAGAGAAAGAAAGGAAAGAGAAAGAAAGAAGAAAAAGAAAGAAAGAATTGAAAAAAAAAGAAAAGAACAAAAGGAAAAAGGAAAAAAGAAAGAAAAAGAAAGAAATAGAAAAAAAAGAAAGAGAGAAAATGATTAAAAAATTGAAAAGAAAACGTCATGAATAGAATTAGTCAATAAAAAAAAAATAAGTAAAATAAAACAGAAAAGAAAACGGAATGAAACAGTCAGAAGAAATAAAAAAGAAAAGAAAATGGAATTAAATAAATCAAGAAAAAAAATAAAAGAGTTAATCCTTTAAGAAAGTAAAGATAAAAAGTAAAACAAATAAATGATTACAGAAATGGTGGACAGAAAAGGAAAAAGAAATTTAAAAGAACGAAAGTAAACAAAATCAATGGAACAGACAAAGAAATTTGGAATTAATAGGAGGATATATATATATATATATATATATATATATATATATATATATATATATATATATATATATATATATATATGAACAGAATATTTCTCTCTTTCACTTCTATCTTTCCCACTTCATTTTTCATCCACAACACGTCAGAATATGAAATTCCGAGCCGTATTGTTGGCGTGGGACATTATGTATATCTATTAAAAGAGTTTCATAAGGTGCTCCATATTTGTGTCCTTGGGCCATACTGAGATAATTTTAATAACCAAGTCTTTGGTAGCTAGAGATTCTCTTCGGCATACAATTATGTCCAGAGGCAAAAAAAAACAATGTTGAATTTTGGGGAAGACAAGTTTTTGGCGCTTTCAAAAAAAAAAAAAAATAAAAATTTTTTTGTCCATATGCCTCATAAATGATGCAATTTAAATCATACCTGATAACTCATCATTTAACTACTGATATAAAAACTAGATTTGGTGCGGTGTAACAAGGTGTGTCTCCTTTGACACCTACTTGAAATGAATAAATCAACTCGTTGTATGCGTCTGTCTTCAATTGCTTTATAAATGAATAACAGGCATAATTATTTTCTTTAAAAAATTCAGTTGTAATGATGATGAGCTGAGGTAAAGTTTCGATGTCTGTTTTTTCATACAGAATGAATAATTTGGGTAAACAAGTAATATAAAATCTGAGATATATATATATATATATATATATATATATATATATATATATATATATATATATATATATATATATATATATATATATATATATATATATATATATATATATATATATATATATATATATAAGCATACAATATTTTTAAAAATACAAATGACTACTAAACTTTTTCACATATATATACATATACAGACACTATATCACTATATATCTCTCCATGAGTACTCACACACACACACACACACACACACACACACGTATAATTATTTATTTAAAAATATGATTCCAACACGCTACATAAGAGTTCTCATGTTTCAAAACAAGAGCCGAAAACTTCAGTATAATTATTTGAATTAAATTGAATTAAAGTAAACTCTATTCCATCTTCAAGTGAAATTTTTTTTTGAATAACTTATTTCTGAATAATATTTCAATAATGAATATGCTATTAAAACATGTAAATTTCAGAAATAAGTTATTCCAAAAAAAAAAATGAAGATGGAACAGAGCTTACTTTAATGCAATTCAATTCAAATAATTATATTGAAGTTTTCGGCTCTTGTTTTGAAACATGAGAACTCTTATGTAGTGTGTTGAATCATATTTTTAAATAAATAATATATATATATATATATATATATATATATATATATATATGTATATATATATATATATGTTTGGTTCTCCCGTTGTATTTGACGTATGAGGGTTAAGCAGCTCAGTTTCTAGAAACCGACAGTCAGACACTAGCACATATGAAGTGATTATAGTGGTGAAAGCTTTTTGCAGAACCAAACACACTTTTTGAAGGGCCAAATACAGAGACCTGGCGCACTACGTGCCACAAGTTCCACATAACAAAGGATGAAAAGTATCGAGAAAAAGCGCTATGTAAATTAATTTAAATGAACTAATGCATAAGGGATTAAATAAGCACTTTAAAAAATAAAATAAAATAGAAAATATTCCAAGTAAACAATTAAAAAAATATATTTGAAAGTATCTCCCGGAAGTATTCGTTTTTAATTGAAAATTAACTGATAAAATACACTAAAATAATATATAATTAAAATAAAATACGATATCATATTACATATATTGCCCTAAATTATTAAAGTGCATGGTGAAAATATGTGAATAACATAGATTTTATCGTCGCTGAACAGGCAGGCTGGGTTCGATTTTCGGCTATATTTATTCCCACAGAAGAGACTAAATCCAAATTTTCTCTCTCTCATTCTGGATTTGATGAAAAATAGCAGGGTGAACTTAGATGTCTAAATTTCGTATTCAAACAAGGAATTCTATGATTTTAAAACCATGCCGATATGTCAGAGGCCAGTGTACAATTATTCCATATGATTGAAAGAATTTTGAGAAAAACTATATCCCTCAGTGATTCTAGAAAAAAATGTGTATGTGTGTACGCGTAGTTGCGTGTTTGTGTGCGTGTCTATTAAAACATAAGTTATTTGTTCTAAGTTCTTTATGAATTTATTTTCCCCATTCGCTGGACTGTTTCACGCTTAGTGATTTTTCAATATGGTTGATTATTTTTTGAAGAAGGAATACGTAAATAAAATAAAATTGTTAATTCTCATGTGTATTAAAAAGCTTTTTCAAAGAACTTAAAATAAAGCACCATTATATACGTAAGAAAAGGAATATTTATACATACATATATGTGTATATATATATATATATATATATACGCAAACACAAAATAATAAGAAAGAACATTAAGATTTATAATCTGTTGTTAGCAATTATTTTTATTTATATTATTATTTTCTTTTTTGCTCGATACAAACAGTAGAGCATAATATTATAATTATTTTCTTTTTCAAAAATATGATTCCATCGCTACACAGAAATTTCTATGTTTCAAAACTGAAACTAAAATTTTAAATTTAATTATAAAAATTAAACTTAGAATCCAGTTTTGTTTCATTGTCAAGCGATGTTAGAAATTCTAAGAAATTTATTTAAATTACATAAATTTATATTAATCGCCTGGTGGTATTCGTAATAACTTATACGGGTGTATTAGTATTTGGTTGGTATTTTTGTCATTTTTACATTTTTGTTATTAACATTTTTTATGAAGAATTTTATTCACCAGTTGCATATTAATTTACCAAATAATTCTATACGTTTAAACTATTTACTAGTTCCATAAAGAAGTTATTTATTTATCAACTATAATTTTTTTATGTCGGAAACTCACAAAGCATATAATTTTTTAGCATTTTGTTAAATTACCCCTCTACCCTATTTTTATTTCTTAGGAAGTGGAATTGTCTGGTTTGTATAATATATTTATCCATTTATGCGCTAGTCTATGTTTGGCTGTCGTTAGCTGCCAATCGACGAGTCATGGTACATGTATAAAAAATAATTTTTAAATTTTTGCTTCTTCTTTTACTTAAAATTTAACATGCACCATATTTGATTAGTTGATCAAGATAACGCCCAGAAACCTTATAACCTCCGATTTTTTAAAATTTTTTTCTTAAAAAGATGTTGTATTTTGCTTTCAAATCTAAATAAATCGTTTACTCGCCATTAATTTACAATTGGCTGATGAGATGCATTGATACGCATCGAAACACGACTGCATGTGTGTTGCGATTTTACATGTTTTCGGTGTAATGTTGTAAAATAAATAATATTGTTCTACGTTGTATTGAGTCCTCTTTTAAATTAAATGTTGCGAACGTTGGAATTGTACTCTATTCGTTCTCATCTTACCTTGATTATATATATATATATATATATATATATATATATATATATATATATATATATATGTGTGTGTGTGTGTGTGTGTGTGTGTTAGCTCTATCGCTGATATTGAGCACTTTCCAACAAGTACCGCTCATATATAAGATATAAAAATATATATAAAAAATTGCATATACATACATATACACACACACACACACACACACACACACACATATATATATATATATATATATATATATATATATATATATATATATCATTCTTCTTGCTGCAGCCTCGTTCCCAATAAGACTAACGTCCGACTCCACCGTAAACGATTCCAAATTTATGCTTTAAAAAGCATATCAGGATGCAGGTAACGGAATATAGTCTGCTATACAGGCATGAAATTTGATGATGGACCAGGTTGAAAATACTTGAACAAGACAATAGCACAACATCAATTTCAAGCACAATATACAACACCACATTCGAAAATTAGAAATAATAAATAAAAAATGATGCATGCAGACCTTGTTGCTTCTATTTAATCAAACTTTTTTCTGTGAATATATATATATATATATATATATATTACTTATACTTAGTGGATACTCGCATTTGAGTAGACTCATTTAAAAAATATATTATACAGGCAGAGCTTGTCACTACTATTTAATCAAACATTTTGTGCGAATATATATATATATATATATATATATATATATATATATATATATATATATATATATATATATATATATATATATATATATATATATATTTATTTTTAATCGTATTCGTGAAAAAGTAATGGCTATCTGGCAGGAATCGAACCTGCGTTACCCAATGGGAAACCGTTAAAGATCTGATGTGCTTTGACCTCTCGGCTACATAGAGCGTCGATGACCAACCTATGCTGAGCCTTTAATCACAGATTTTTTTCTGAATTTTGAAATCGATATATATTCACAGTTTCGTAACCTCACATAAATAAAGCAATTTTTAAAGAAAGAAAATTTTTATTTATTAATCCGACAGATTTCTATTACTTCAACATCAACTTTATTTTTAATGGGTTCTCGTATTTGGGGTAGACGTTAGTTTATTTATTAAACTGTATATTTCGTTATTTTTGTCTACTAGCGTGAATATTTGATGAATAAGATTTCTTATCAAAAAGAAATTAAATGTTAAATAAATAAACAGAGCGTCTACTCAAATAAGGGTATCTACTAAAAGTAACGTTTAAGTAATAAGAATCTGTCGGATCAATAAATAAAAAATTCACCATATATATATATATATATATATATATATATATAT